TATAATTTTACTACAACAGTTTCCTCCTACGATGTTTAGTTGCAAAGGTATGAATTTTCAAAGTTCGTGTGATCCGGGAAAATCTAAAAACTTCAATTTAAATTTTCTGGGAAAATTCACCACCCCTAACTTTTTTGTTTTTTTTTTTTGTTAATCATAAACTGTAACTGTTGGAAAAATTTCATAAGATTCTGATACCTTTGGAAAGAAAATCCATTATAGTTTTTAGTGTTTCTTTATTAGTTATATTGTTTTTACATTGTGTTACTATAAGTTTTATTGTATTAATATATTTCCATAAAACTTATTGTTTATATATATATACATATCGTACGAGTGAAATGTCTGATTATCTACAACAAATGCTTCGTATTGGTCTCTTGCATTATAAAATGAATTTTTTATACATTTTAGCTATCAAATATTTGTTACGAAATAACATATAAATTTAGATCAATATTTGCCAATGAATCGCATAAAATGAATAGAAGTTTCATTGATCAAATTATATTTTTGAGTTACTGTATGTATGGTAGAAACAGTTTTCAAAAGTTTCCCGGCTCTATAAATTTACAATTAATTGATTGTTAGCTGTACGTTTTATAATACGTTAACAATTTAGCCTATAAACTCTATCAAGTTTTGTATCCGGCTTGAAACCAGCCTCATACAGCATCGTCTTGCTTTAAAGTTATATTACCGAAATACCCCCATATCCCAAATAATAAAATTATTCCATAAATGGTACTGTGAAGATGTCGTTAAGCTAAATAACCATACACATTTTATTGGGGCACTTTTATGTATTGATCAGATTGAAAATCCAGTATTAGCGTATACCCAAAAATGGGGAAAACAAAAACGAAAATAAAAAATAAAACAAATCAGCTTCCATGATCCACACAAAAACAACAAAGGACACACACCTAACAAGTTGTTTCTCACCGTTCTCTCAAATATAGTCCAATTTATTGCTGGCAAAAGTACCGTAAAACATGGTAACATTGATAGTTTTTTCTCCAAATTTTATATTTTTGAAACATGTACTCAGGTTTCTAGAATCAATTCGTTAGTAATATGTTTAACGGAAATTATTGCATTTGCACTATTGTTTTAGTCTTGTGACCGACCTCAATATTTTGACTTGGGGTTACTTTGATAATGCTCCAAAATAATAAACACGATTTAATAGATTAATTTAATGTTTTTTATTATATTATATTATATTATATTTTTATTATATTTCTTGATTTCACTCCATATAACTTCCCTATTGACGATGTAGTGGTCCATTTTCTACTTGATCAACATTATAATCATGAATTTTTGGCATAATTTTAAATAATACCGCTTTCAGGAGTGAACAGCACCTTTTAAAATCAAATCGTTTTAAATTCATACATACGTAAAAATTTATCACTGGATGTATATATCAAAGTATGATTTGTTGCTTGCACAATGTGATAACCAGAAGAAACAAAATTTAACTTTATTCTCAGTTTGAACAATACGCTGCACATATTAATGAAGATTTGATGCCCTTTCCATTGAAATATTTTTTGAATACTCAAATCTAGTATCATTACGACCATTGATTTATCCGATTATATAATGAGCACACTTAGTTGCTTCACGGTTAGACAAAACATTTGTAGTGTTCACAATACACAAATATGTCACTCGAACATGTATATGCAAAACTAAACAAAAAATCATACATGCAGGCGTTTCGGAAGGACTGTTTGTTACTTTCGGCACTATTTTACTTTTATCCTTAGATACTGATTCGTTGATCAATTGAAAATGATAAGAAAAGTGTTTTAATCTTTATTTTAGAGATTTTTAGCCCAAGGCTAGTTTATCTCAAATCCGTAAAACTTATTACTTTATAGTTTTATTGTAGTATGCCTTGATTTGTCTATATATCAATATTTTTTATGTAGCAAAATACTGATTGTTAAAATATCAGGTAGTCAAAGACTCACCGAATGGTCCTAGGAACGTCCATAAAATTAAATACTTCCTGTATTTGGTTGTGATCATTATGCAATGTAGTAAAGCACTGAATTTATATTCATCAGCTGGTATTAGACTCTGAGTGATAGATTAGATTGTAGTATGCGTTGATTTGTATCTGTAACTGAAAAGTATAAAAATGTTGATTTTTGACCTGGTCATACTGAGTGGTCACCGGATGGTCTCCTGGAAGATCCGGATCATCCTGAAAATTAAATACTTATTGTATTGGATTGTAGTATGTACACCACAATTCGTCTCTATGTAAATAATAATGTAGCAAAATGTTAAATTTTTAAACATTAGCTGGTGCTCTCCTTCAGTGATATTTGGGTTGGAATATATTTAGTATTCAGTATTTTTATGACCAACAGAATCCTCCCGGTACAGAACCTTGAAAGATGGTTCATATGGCTTTTTGTGAGAGCTACAAAAGTTTAATTTTTACTGAAATTTTAATGGACCATCTGCACTTATATTTGGGATGAAATAAATTTAATATCAGACTGCGGAAGTTTTGAAATTGTGGGTGTTAGCATTTTGCAAATTGTGGTAGCACAATTCAAAAGTTGCTGCGGTTTGGAATCAATTTTTTTTTTATTTAGATGCAAGGGGACGCATACATGTTTTCTACAAATTTACTGGCTTTTCTGATCAAAATCCAAATTCTGTTTATGAAAAGGTTCTCTTATATCTTCTTGACAAGTGGAACTGAAGGGAAACATTTTCATGAACAGAAATTCGGTTTTGAATGAAAAAAAAACTGATTTTGACATTGTTTTGTGCTCAGCACGGAAAACAAAATCGGCGTAAAATAAATCCAAGAAAAAAAAATTTTTCTCGCATATTAAATTATGAATGCTGTAAAGAAAAACTGTATGAAATAAGGTATACTGAAATGGAGCCGCACCCATCAACCAAAATAATTTCCAAAGTATCCATGTACCATAGAGCAGGTATATGATCTTCGAAAGGTCTTTGGAAACATCCCTGATAAACGTACACTTGCGGGAATTTCTAAGATACATGGTTGGATTTTTGACGTAGGACTACGTCTTTGATTTCTATATGGGGGTACACTTTGTGAAAACTGAAAATGGAACATGTAACAAATTATGAAAGATTTTGAACGTTAATAATTCAACTGCCCCTGGTCCAATTTCAATAATTTTATCACCAATCGATCAGAAATATGGCTACGCATCGATAATAATGCTTCCGAAGGTTGATTTTCAACAAGAAACTATTGAAAAACTGGTAAATGTTCAGCATTGTCCAAAAGCGTTGAATTAACGAACAAATCCACCAATTACCTACATGCATATGCTGCTTCCCCAGCACAGTCGTCAGAGAGTAGTAAGTAGACGAAACAAGTCGAATTGGCATTCGCCTCCGATCCTCGGGCGCGTGCGAATAGGGAGGATGAAATTGCGCAATATTTTGCACACTCATCGCCATATTCAGAACCACACGCTCCCAACGACCACACAAAATGCTCTCCAGAGTTGTAATCTTGTAACCAAACTTGGAAACAGGGGATACACTCAAAAAATATATCACATAGGGGATTAACATTTTGCATATTCTGCATAAAAAATACATAAAAATTCCCTCCCTTTTAACATATTCTGCAAGAAAATACTATTTAACAAAAATTTCTAGGAAAAACTGAACGATCGTTAATGATTTCTTTTGACTTTTTTTGACCATAATATGCATCCAAAGCGATCCATCCACTTTTCCAAATTTCTAACTTACTATCAATGGAACAACGCCATCAATGAGAAAAAATAGCCTTGACTTAATGGTGAAAACTATTTTTGTAGTTCTTTAAAAATTCTACTCTAACTCTTTTCTTAAATGAACTTGGTGGCCCTGAAAAGGGCCGTTTTGCTACTTGGTTGTTGGTGATAATCCATGGCCGTGACTGTCTGCGCTTGGCGTGTTCAGTGACGGCATCCGGCAACGGCAAGACGCTTCGATTGGAACATTTAAAATGTTGGCTTCAGTCTTCGCGTCTCTTATTAAACATCGTCTCTGGCTCGATCCATGTACCGTACCGTGTATGATGAGCAGTGCCAGTCCGCGATGATTTGCTAGCCCGTCCAGGCTGTATGTGTGTTTTCAAAATCTCAAAATCAACCCCGCGTCAGAAAGCGAACGCATGAACGTACATTTTTGAGAGCATGTTTTTTAACTCGTACACGGAATAGTTTTGCTTCGTTACTGATTGCATACAATCCACAGAACAAACTTAGCCGATCTAAATCTGAATTTTAAAAGTTCACTTAAATAACTCTCTTATGGAATCTTTGTTTTGGCTCTGAGAAGGGCCGGTTTTGTAGATTTTCGACGGGGAAATTAAGCGCGTTCACCACGGATACGATGTTTGTGACACGCTTGGCGTGGAGGACACGCAGGTTGGTATCTTCGAACAGACCGACCAGATAAGCCTCACTAGCTTCCTGTAGAGCCATAACAGCTGAGATCTGGAAGCGCAGATCGGTCTTGAAGTCCTGGGCAATTTCACGCACCAGACGCTAGAAAGGCAACTTGCGGATCAGCAGTTCGGTCAATTTCTGATAACGACGGATCTCACGCAGGGCGACGATGTCTGGCCGGTAGCGATGAGGCTTCTTTACTCCTCCGGTGGCTGGAGCGCTTTTGCGAGCGGCCTTCGTTGCCTACTGCTTGCGAGGAGCCTTTCCTCCAGTGGACTTGCGAGCGGTCTGCTTGCGAGCCAATTTTAATGGGTACGATGTGGAGTCGATGAAAGCAAACTGTAGAGTAAAAAATAAAATCGACTTTCATTCTGTTTTATAACATGCGTTTGCTGTTTTCAACCAATCAGAAACGATGAAAGAACAAGAACACAACAACTAACAAGAAGAATTTAACCCTCGAGTAGGTTTAAAAAAGCCGAAATTTGAAATTTTTGTTCACTCTCGTTTCAACCTTCATCGACGACACATCTACCATCATATACAATGACTGGACGCGGCAAGGGAGGAAAAGGACTCGGCAAAGGAGGCGCCAAGCGTCATCGAAAAGTGCTGCGTGATAACATTCAAGGCATCACTAAACCTGCCATCCGCCGTCTGGCTCGTCGTGGTGGAGTCAAGCGAATTTCCGGGCTTATTTATGAGGAAACCAGAGGCGTGTTGAAGGTGTTTTTGGAGAACGTTATTCGAGACGCTGTTACTTACACAGAACACGCTAAGAGGAAGACCGTCACCGCAATGGATGTCGTTTACGCTCTGAAGCGACAGGGACGCACTCTGTATGGTTTCGGAGGATAAATTGGCATCATCGGCTCAGACAAAAAAACGGCCCTTTTCAGGGTCACCAAATGAATTAAAAAGGTGTTTTTGATTAACTTTCTTGTCGGGATTTGAAAGGTGGTAGGGATGTGATCGAATGACGATTTTTTCAATTTAAGGTTGTTAGATTTAACCATAAATTTGTTAAGAGTTTTATTTGGACATTTGTCAAGGTCATCAGTTGCCGCAAGCAGCTAGCTATCAAGGCTCAACCTGGTATCTTATCTTCTTATCACCTTTTAAAGTCGGGTAGATGAATCGAAAATACTCAAGTTGACAGTCCGTTGGATTCTCTTCATCAACTTTCTCTTTGAAATAAATACTACAAATTTGATACGCTTACAAATAAAAAACGGAAAGAGTTTAGATAATTGATGATTGATCAATTAAAAGAACTAAATGTTCACATTTGTTCCGTCCACTAGCGGTCCTACGTCAAGCTTCCGTTCGTGCCCCTAGGCACAGACCCTTCTACTTTTTTAATTATTAGGGGTCTTCAGAATTATAATTAACTAATTAAACATATCCAGATACCACAGTGCAGGTCTATGATGTTCTAAAATTTTTGGAATAAATCATAATTCTTCTTTCTTGCGAGAATATCTAAGAGTCATGATTTCATTTATTGAACAATTAGAAATCATCGGAGTGATTACAAATCAATCAGGAAAATAACCAAAATAATCAGAGACCATAGTGCTGAAGGTCTTTGTAAAAAAAAATCCTGATCAACCTACTCTTGGGAGACTTTCTAATATACATTGATTGATTTATTGAACAATTAGAGGTCTTCCGACTATTAAGTAACTAACCATAAAAATCAAGACACCATAGTGCAGGTCTATAACCTTCTTAAGTTCTTTGGAACAATTTCTGATCAACCTACTTTCTTGCGAGAATAGAAAATAAGATTAAGATACAAGATTTGATTTATTGAGCAATTAGAGATGTTTAGAGTAATTACTAATCAACCAGTAGAATAACCATGATAATAAGAGAACATAACGCTGGTCTATGGTCTTTTAAAGGTCTTTGTAAATTTTATGATCATCAACTCTTGGGAGAATTTCATAATTTATAAATAACCTACTTGCATGCGAGAATATTTAAGAGGATATTTATTGAACCATTAAAGATCTTCAGAATAATTAGGGTGGAACACTTCTTCAGCTTGGTGCTGGTCTATGATATTCTGAAAGTCTTTGAAAACATTCTTGATCAACCAACTTTTGCGAGAGAGTGAGAGAGATATTAGATTAGATAAGAGGTCTTAAGAAAAATAAGTAAATAACCAGAAATATAAAAAATACCATAGTGCAGGTCTATGATCTTCTAAAGTTCTTTAGAATAATGTTGATTAACCTTCTTTCTTGTGAGAATGTTCTTTTTCTTCGCATTTTAAGCTTATTGCATATTGCATATTAGCTTATTGCGTTCTCTCAACTTAGTTTTCTAGATGCACTTCCACAGTTATTAATTGAGAGCTTTCGATGCCTGTACCATTTTTGCATTAGTATAATTTTGTGTATATTGTAGCATCATACTCTATGCCAAGGGAAGTCAAGAAATTTTTCAACCCGAAACATTCCTAGATCGGACTGGGAAATGGAACCCAGCAACCTCCAGCATGGTCTTACTTTGTAGTTGCACTTTTATTGTCTGAGCTAAGGGAGGCCCGTTTCGAGAATATCTTAGTGTCATTATTTGATTTATTGAAGATCTATGGAATGAAAACCAAATAACCAGAAAAATTGCCAACATATTCAGAGACCACCTTTCAGGTCTATGATCTTCTGAAGAAATTTGGTCAAATTCATGATCAACCTATTCTGCGATAATGTCTAAGATGATTGATTGGATTTATTGATCAATTAGAGATTATCAGAATAAGTACTTATCAACTTGAAGATTTCCTAAAATATTCACAGAAAATTATGCTGGTCTATGATCTTCTGGTTTATGAATAATTTCTGATCAACTTACTATTTACCGAGAGTATCGTATAGTCATGATTGGATTTATTGAATATTTAGAGATCTTCCGAATAACTATCATTCAGCCAGAAGAATTTCTAAAATACCGAGAGACCTTAGTGCAGGTCTATGATCTTCTGAAGGTATATGGAAAAAAAATATCAACCTACTTACTTGCGTGAATGTCTAAAAGACATGATTTCATTTATTGGACGATAAGAGATCTCCAAAAGAATTACCAATCGATCAGAAGAACTGCCATAGTGCAGGTCTATGATTTCCTGAAGGTCTTTGCTATAATTCCCGATCAACCTACTCTTGCGAAAATATCTAAGATTTATTATTTGATTTATTGAACAATTAGAGGTCTTCAGAATAATAAGTGACTAACCAGAAATATCCAGACACAAACAAACATCCAGAGCAGATCTATGATCTACTGATCTTCTTTGAAATAATTTCAGATCATCCTTTTTCTAGCAAGAATATTTAAGAGATATGATTTGATATATTTAACAATTAGAGATCTTCAAAACAATTAATAATCAATCATAAAAAAATGCCAACATATTAAGAAAACATAATGTTGGTCTAGTCTTCTGAAGGTATTTGAAATAGTTTCTGATGAACCTTCCTTTTTGCGAGAATGTCTAAGAAGCATGATTTGATTTATTGAACAATAAGAGATTTAAGAAAAAATATCAATCAACCAGAATAATTTTCAAAATATCCAGAGACCATACTGCAGGCCAATGAATTTCTGAAGGTCTTTGGGAAAAATCCTGTTCAACCTTCTCTTGGGGGATTTTCTTACAGTCCTGATGTGATTTATTGAGAAATTAGAGGTTTTCAGAATAATTAATAACACTTGGAATATCCATAGACCTTAGTGCAGATGGATACAGATCAGGAAGTTCTTTGTAATAATTTTGATCAATCTACTTTCATGCTAGTATATCTAAGAGTCAACATTTTATTTATTGAACAATAAGAGAGCTCGAGAATATATACCGAAACATCCAGGTCCATGATTTTCTCAAGGTCTTTGAAACAATTCCTGTTCAATTCATTCCAGATATAAGGAGGAATTATCAATCCATCAACCAGGATGAGCAGGTGTATGATCTTTTGAAGGTCTTTTGATGCATTTCCTTCCTTTAGATGCAGATAAACCTACTCTTGCGAGAATTTCCAAGAGACATGACTGGATTTATTGAAAAATTAGAGGTCTTCATAATGATAAGTTACTAACCAGAAATAACCAGAGACCTAGTACATGTTTATGATCTTCTGATGTTCATTGTAATAATAATTGCGGATCAACCTATTTTCTTGCGAGGCTAAGGATTGTTCAAGTTATAGAACGAACACACAACACCAGCCCCATTTTTTTATTTGACTACTTAGTTTAATGCTTTCATCGGCAAGTTTTAAACTCTTCTTATAAGCAACATAGCAACAATAATATACTATATTTTTGAAGCAGAACATTTGAAACACATACAATAAATTTCGTTCTGATTATCAACTTTGTCAACATACCTTTTATCACATTTTGTTCTAATTAAATGATCTGACAAATGTAATGGTTATTATTTTGTACCTTAAGTGTATAAAGTGGATCTCATTGAAAAAAAAAATGAAAAATAACCTTGTTCATTTACGCAAAAAACAAAAAGGGTGAAATATTTGTTAATTATTAAAAAAAAAAGAGTGGAATATTTTTTGTATTTTGAAAATGCATTTTTTTAGAATATCAATATCATTACTTAAAGCAATGAATATATGTTTTTATCATAATCTATACAAATACTGATTAAAAGAATACGGATGCAGAGAAAGATTAAAAATTAACAGACTATTTTTGGTAACCGTTTTATAATATGAAAAGTTCTTATGTAAGAGCCATAATGTCAGAATAATTATCGATCATATAGAAAAAGCTCCAAAATATAATGTACAAATTGCGTTTCAATCTTCTCTTGCGAGAATTACTAAGAGACAAGATTTTATTTATTGAACAATTAGATATCTTCAAAATAATAAGTAATTAATCAGAATGCAGGTTTATGATAGTCTGAAGTTCTTTAAAAAAATCGTTCATCAACCTTTATCCTTGCAGCCATAATATCATTCAGGTTTGCAGCCATTCGTTTGCTATAAAACTAATGTTTTTCGGATTTATGGAGTCAATACATCATATGATATGATGTATGATGACATGATATGATGATATTTTGCACATATGAGAAACAAGATGAGTTTGTAAAGTATGTGTTTTACACATGAAACCTGCCAATTTTGCTTTCAGAGATTCATAATTTGATAATCAATGATTATTAATTATTCATGAAGAGTGAATTTTCACCGATCATAAAATTGCTGATTGTGACTCTCTAAAAGCATAATTGAAAATATTCATGTGCCAAATATATAAATTACAACTTCTTCTTTTTAATTACAAGTATAAAATCAATTGATTTCACAATGCTGAAAAACCAGTTTTTATAGAAAACGAATGGCCACAACCCTGGTAAATATGCTCTCTTCATGAAGAATGGATGTTCAACGATCATAAAATTGTGCCTCTCTGAAAGTGAAACTGACAGGTTTCATGTGTCAACCACTTATTATACAATCTCTTCTTTTAACAAGTGCAAAATATCTTCTGAAGATTTAATGATTCCACAATTTTTTTTATAGTAAATTAATAACAAAAACCTTAGCCAATATGTTACTACAAAGCCACCTAGTTATTGTTAACATGGTTTTCTGAAATATACAGACCGATCACTTCCTCCAGCCATAATATTCACCCATCACTAAATTCCCAATATATGTTTTACCCCCGAATGTATATGCAAATATGTTAGTGCAACATGTAGAGAATCGCACTACATGTCGCAATACATTTCCTTGATGCCAGATGATTTTTTTTACAAATTCACCAATTTTCTCATTCCGGTGGAGCCTTAAACACTCGACGCTCGGTTTTCCAAGCGGTAT